TTAAACCAGTCCATGTGGGGTACCAGATGAAGACAGATGGTTAAAAGAAATCCCATAGTAGCTATGAATTGAGAATACAGAGTTATTTATTTAAGGGTAGACTCAACAGATTATAGTCTTCTGCTCGAACAGGTATCAGCAGTAGAATCCCACATCAGGAAAAGAGGCTAGACACCTGCTTTACATTAGCAATTATAGTATAAGAGGCCACGCCCAAGTGGGCAGGTAACTGAAAGGCTACTTACTGGCAGTGGGAATTCCTATAGCAATTGTCTGCATCTTTTCTGTCTCTTTAATTTTCTTTCTGTTTTCTTGGTTATTACTCAGGTTTTCTTTTTTTTAAATTGAGTTATTTTGTTGTGTCTTTAAATTTCTTGAATTATTTGAGTAAGTTTACAATACTTTAAAATTTTGTAAAAACAAAAAAAATGTGTTCTAGAATTTAGGAAATTCTTGTTGACAAACATTTTGGTTTTGGAGAGGAGACACTGGCTTTTTCATATTGTTATTTATGTGATGAGATCTAGGTATATTGATTTTCTTTGTCAGCTCTGCATTTGTTGTAGTCAAAACAGGCTGGGAAAGAAGAGTTGCGGACCTCAGTTGGGTCTGAACATTAAAGTTTGGATGAAATAAAATCATATAGACAGAAGACCACTGGGCTGTTACAGTGCGCTTCTAGCTCCATCCAGAGGGTGGATGTATATAGGTCTGAGTGGAAATGTTGTTAATAATGTGGGAGAGTCCTGTGAATTTGTGGATCTTTGGGGTGAATCTTGAGATTTTTTTTTATTATGAAGGACAAACAAGGATAGTACACTGATTCTGAGACCCAGATTATTATAACACATTGGTCTTATTGAAGGTACTCATTAATACCACCCTTCCAAACTCACAATGACAAGCACAAACTTTCCAGATTTTATATAAAGATACATTTATAGATATAGTACCATCTATTTTATACAATATCAATTAAAGATACACACCATGTCATCTACAATCAATATAAATATCACCACCATGCTTTTTTAATTGATATTTATTGAGCTCTACATTTTTCTGTGCTCCCCTCCCTGCCTCTCCCCTACTTCTTCAACCTTTCCTCTTAGGTCCCCATGCTTCCTATTAACTCAGGAGATATTGTATTTTTCTAGTTTCTATTTCCCGTGTAGATTGGATCTATGTAAGTCTCTCTTAGTGTCCTCATTGTTCTCTGGAATTGATGTTGGTAATCCGGCTTTCTTTTTATGTTTAAAAGCCACCTGTGAGTGGGTACATGTGATAATTGTCTATCTTTGTCTGTGTCACCTCACTCAAAATAATGTTTTCAAGTTCCATCCATTTTCCTGCAAATTTCAAGATGTCGTATTTTTTTCTGCTGTGTAGTACTCCATTGTATATATTGTCTTTATTACGTTTAGGTATGTTCCTCGTATCCCTGCTCTCTCCAAGACCTTTATCATGAAGGGTTGTTGTATTTTGTCAAATGCTTTTTCAGCATCTAATGAGATGTCTATGTGGTTTTTATTTTTCAGTTGTTTATGTGGTGGATTATGTTGATAGTTTTTCATATGTTGAGCCATTCCTGCATCTGTGGGATGAATCCGACTTTGTCATGGTGGATGATGGTTCTGATGTGTTCTTGGGTTGGATTTGGCAGTGTTTTGTTTAGTATTTTTGCATCAATGTTCATGAGTGAGATTAGTCTGTAATTCTCTTTGTAATGTCTTTGTGTGATTTGGGTATCAGGGTAATTGTGGATCCATAAAAAGAGTTTGGCGATGTTCCTTCTGTTTCTATTGTGTGGAATAATCTGAGGAGTATTGGTTCTTCTTTGAAAGTCTTGTGGAATTCTGACCTGAAACCATCTGGTCCTGGGCTTGTTTTTTTCGTTGGAAGACTTTTGATGACTGTTTGTATTTTTTTTTTTAGCAGTTTTAGGTCTGTTTAATTTGCTTATCTGGTCTTGATTTAATTTTGGTAAGGAATATTTATCCAGAAAGTTTCTCTTTCTTTTAAGTTTTCCAATTTTGTGGAGTACAGGCTTTCGAAATACGGCCTAATGATTTCTCTGTATTTACTCTGTTTCTGTTGTTATGTCCCCCTTTTCATTTCTGATTTTGTTAATTTGGATATTCTCTCTCTGCCTTTTGGTTAGTTTGGATAAGGGTTTGTCAATTTTGTTGATTTTTCTTGAAAAACCAGCTCTTTGTCTCACTGATTCTTTGTATCTTTTTTTGTTTGTTTGTTTGTTTTTATTTTAGCTCTCATTATTTCCTGCCATCTAGTTCTGTTTAGTGAGTTCGCTTCTTTTTGTTCTAAAGTTTTCAAATGTTCTATTAATTCTCTAGTGTGAGATTTTTGTAGCTTCTTTATGTTGGCATTTAGTGCTATGAACTTTTCTCTTAACACTGCTTTCATTGTGTCCCATAAATTTGGGTACGCTGTTTGGTCATTTTCATTGAATTTTAAGAAGTCTTTAATTTCTTTCTTTATTTCTTCCTTGACCCATTGATGATTCAGGTGAGCATTATTTAACTTCTATTATTGTGAGTTTTCTGGAATTAGTATTGGTTTTGACTTCTAGTTTAAACCATGATTATCTGATAAGGTACATTGGGTTATTCCAATTTTTTGTATTTCTATAGGTTTGTTTTGTTACTGTGGTCTATTTTTGAGAAGGTTCCATTAGGTTGAAAGAAGAAGGTATATTTTATGTTTGGATGGAATAGTCTATAAATATCTGTTAAGTTCATTTGTGTCATAATATCTGTTAGTTCTGTTATTTCTCGGTTCATTTTTTTGATTGATCTGCTTAGTGGTGAGAGTGGAGTGTTGACGTCTCCCACTATTACTGTGTAGGATTTGATGTATGATTTAAACTTTAGACGGGTTTCGTTCACATATCAGGGTGCCCTTGTATTCAGGGCATAGATGTTCAGTATTGAGATTTCCTCTTGATGGATTTTTCCTGTGACTAATATGAAATGACCTTCTTTGTCTCTTTTGACTGATTTTAGCTTGAAGTCTATTTTGTTACATAACAGGATAGCTACAAATGCTTGTTTCTTAGGACCATTTTATTGGTATATTTTTTCCCAACCCTTTACTGTGAGACAATGTCTGTCTTTGAGGTTGAGATGTGTTCCTTATATGCAGAGAAGGATGGATTCTGTTTTTGTATCCAATCTGTTAGCCTGTGCCTTTTTATAGGTGAGTTGAGTCAATTTACATTAAGGAATTTTAATGACCGATGATTGCCATCTTCCTTGGGTTGAAGTTTTCCTTCTCGTATTTTGTGTAAGGGCTGGGTTTGTCGCTAGGTATTGGTGAAATCAAGATTTTTTATGGAATATCTTGTTTTGTTCTTCTATGGTGATTTATAGTTTTGGTGGGTATAATAGTCTGGGCTGGCATCCGTGGTCTCTCAATGTCTGCATAACACTTTCATTGTCTCCAGTGAGAAGTCAGGTGTAATTCTGATAGGTCTGCCTTTATATGTTACTTTGTAACTTATTTGTAGTTCGTAATATTCTTTACTCTCATGTTTAGTGTTTTGATTATTATGAGGCGACCGGACTTTTTTTTTTGGATCCAGTCTTTTTGGTGTTCTGTAAGCTTCTTCTATCTTCATAGGCATATCTTTCTTTCTTTTTTTTTTAGGCATATCTTTCTTTAGGTTGGGAAAGTTTTCTTCTATGATTTTGTTAAATCAATTTTATGTGCCTTTGAGTTGAATATTTTTTTTCTTTCTTCTATACTTGTTATTCTAAGATTTGGCCTTTTCATGGTGTCTTATATTTCCTGAACATTTTGGGTTAAGCTTTTGTTAGATTTAATGTTTTCTTTAACTGAGGAGTCTATTTCCTCTGTTGTTTCTTCAGCACTTGAGATTCTCTCTTCCATCTCTTGTATTCTGCTGTTCATGCTTGCGTTTGTGGTTTCTGATCTTTTTCTCATGATTTCTCTTTCTATAATTCCTTCAGCTTGTGTTTTCTTTATTGTTTCTATTTCAGTTTTCAAATCCTGAATAGTTTCTTTCACATGTTTGATTTCTTTTTCTTGCATTTCTTTAAGTGATTTGCTGATATCTTCCAATTTTTTGTTTGTCTTTTCCTCGATTTCTTTAAGGGAATTTCTCATTTCCTTTTTAAGAATTTCAAACATTCTCTTGAAGTTATTTTTTTTAGGTTATTTTTTCTGGTTTATCTATATTTGGTTGTTTAGGTCTTGCTGCTGTAGGGTCTGTAGGTTTTACTGGTGTTGTGTTTTAGCGTGTGATCTTACCTTTTCTACTGATCTTTTCCTCTAGTGCGTGTGGTTGGAGATGTCTGAGATTCTGTTGAATAATCGTCTAGGTGCCTTTGAGTCCAAAGTTTAGATGGTTGTTCCTCGTGGTACTCTCAGAGTCACAGTTCTAGTTACCCTATTGGTTACTTGGTGTTCCTGGAGATAGCTCAGTTCTCCTGTGCTTTTTTTTCTGCTCCCTTGGAGTTTTCTGTCTCAGGCCTACTTTGGCATACGTTGCTGGCTTTGACCTGCTTCTGTAAATCCTGGTCTGGATCCCCCTCCTGCAGAAGTCCCTGGTTTGCAGTTGTACCTGTTCTGTTGGAGATGGCTGTCTCTGGGTCAGATTGCTAGCTCAATCCTGGTCTGCCAATGTCCCAGGACTGGATTTTCTCCGGTGGAGCTTGTTCGCTTTCTGTCCTAGCAGATGGTTCTGTCCCACTCTGGGTCTGGTGAAGATTGCTTCCTCTGGGTCGGGTTGCTTCTTAATGAAATAAAATCTATTCATACTCTTTTGTGCCTCTCTTTTACATAATTCTACACCATCCTTGACTTGTAATACTTATATTTTAATAGATTGTAAGTTGTAAATTATCACAGTATTTATCTTTTATATAAATGTTAGGAGATTTAACTCTGCAAATATCTTAAACTCCTTATTTGCTACTAATTAAGGGTTAATGTATATTTGTTGCCTTATATTATTACAGACCTATACGGCAGTTGGCACAGGAGCAGTTCTTCTTAATGTGTACCAGATGTTGCATGGGACATAAACCTCTGATGTTCTTCATTACTCTACTCTTTACCATTCTGGGGGTGAGACAATTTTAGTGGAACTGTCAATATATTTATTCTTAAAAATGAGAGATATTCAAAGATAAACTACAACTTTTATTTCATTTAGTTCATGTTCCATAGGAATAGATATGATATTACAAACATTAAGACTTTTTTTGGCAAATAAGTCATTAATGATCACAGTTTTAGTTTGTGTTTGTTAATATTTCAGAGTGTCACAACAGAAAGGGGGAAATATTCAGAAGAATACTTCACACTTTTGAGGCGTCTTCTCACTCATGCTTACAACTGCAGTGTTCTTGTACCCAATGCTGATGTTCTTCTTAGTGATGAAATTGACTGGCTCAAAAGGGTTAGGGTAAGATGAATAATATTCAGATTATTTTATTATTAAATTAACTTTAAAGGAAGGATATGTTAGCTTTTTGTAATTAAAGCAGAATGTGTTTGCTATGAAAATTAGGGAGGAATCGATGAGTTTTGGTCACCATTTTAGAAATTTCAGTTGAAGTGTGCCACAGTCATTCATTTTCTTGTGTCTGAGACAAGATGAACTACTGTGTTAGTATGAGTATGTTGCATAGCCCACACATCTACTGGTGGCTTTAAAGCAGAGAAAATGTCTGTTTGTGGATTTCTTGTTTCTGCACTTATTTCATTCAGTCTTCTATCCTATAGAATGTTAAAGTTGTTATTCAGGACATACTTTCTTCTATGCAAAACCTCACACTTTTGGACACTTCTGAATCCAAGAAAATTGATAACGAAGATTAACGATTTCAGAGGTTTTAAAACTTTGAGATTTTATTCTGCTTTGAAGACAAAAGTGAACAAACTAGACATGATCATATTCTCTTTAATTTCAACACTCAAAAGTAGGAAATAAGTATGAGCATTATGAAATACTATTTAAAATATCCAACAAAAATTTTACAAAGACAAACTGTTGTTTCTTGGAGTTGACTTACAGAAAACACATCTTATTTTGCTTAAATGAATTTGAAACTTGTTAGTTTGCTGTTTGATTATATCTATTTTGGTATTACTGGCCTGTTTGCGAATTACAGTGCTACCATTTAGGGCATATGTTGGTTCTTAGGTTTGATAGGGGTGTTTTTCTTTTAAGGCAAGATCTTACAACAATTCCCAGATGCTATTTAAACCTAATGTGTTACACTGATTACAAATTACACTGAATTTTTTATGTTACTGGTATTATTCTTAGTTTATTTTTATTCAGAATGTTAAATTTACCAAATTATATATTTTATATAATCTGTAGTTCAAAATTTTGTCATTAAAATAGGCATTATTCTATTAGTATGTAAAGCCTTAAAATGCTGAAAGTTAACTGAACCAGCATTATTTTGTTTGGTACTAGATAACCCATTTTCGTTATCTAGCCGCCCTGTTTATATTTTATAATATTAAAGGACAGTTGTGACCTCAAATTCTAATTGTTGCCATAGAAATTTCTCTTTCCCTGGGATTGTATAACTTCAAAATAACTATCTGTACAGAGAAATTATACATGCATTCTTAGAGCTTTTTTTTTAATTGTGACTTCCTGCCCCTTTGTTTATCCTCATAGGTTAGACTGGTATTATTTTTTTCTTTGGTAGGATTGTGTTAAAGACTCAGGTGAAGCAGGTGTTGAAGATCCGATCTTGGAAGGCCATCTTGGAGTAACAAAAGAGTTACTAGCCTTTCAAACTCCAGAGAAAAAATACCATATTGGTTGTGAAAAAGGAGGTACTAATCTTGTTAAAGTAAGTTCTAAATTCAACTGCTTTTGTGTGTGTTTGTATGAATAAGTGCAGGTGTGTGCATACTGGGGTAGATGTGTAGCCTTCCACCTTGTTTGAAATTGAGACTCCTTGTTATTCACCACCAAATACACCACATTAGATGACCTACAAGCTTCCTGGAGTTGTCCTCTTCTGCGTGTCCACGCTTTAGTAAATCTTGGATTGTAGATGCTTAATATTGCGCCCATTTTTACATGGGTTCTAGGGTTTTGAAATCAGATTATTTTTACCTACTAAACCATGTTCTTCAACTCCTTATTTTTAAATTGTAATTCTGAACTATTCACCAACATGAGGACACATATGCTTCTTTCTAGGATTCCAGAGGCTAAGGTAGGCAAGGTTCCGTGTCATCCAAAAGGATACACAAGTGAGTTCTTTATCCAAAGGAAGAAAAAGCAAACTGTTGAAACACTTCATATGTTACCATGTTTTTGATAAAACTCATTAATAGGCTATATCTTTGAAAATAATATTTTTTGTTAAGCTGAAGTTTAAGCCAGCTTTTATTATTTTTCTCTTATTAAAATATTTTTGCATGTTTTGATTTCCCTGCTTTCTGTTCACCCATGTTTGTTATTTCTCTTTCCCTTCCACTCCCCTTCTCTTCTCCCCCTCTTCCTCTTTTCTTCTCTCCTTCTCTTTTTCTCTTTAAAAAATTCTTGTAAAAAGCCTATCTTTTAAAAAACTTTATCTTAATAAAATCCTTAATTTTTAAAGTTTTGAATTACTTTGCAATTTTTTTTAATCTTTTATTCTTTGATAGTTTCATTCATGTATACAGTGTATTTACTCCAAACTTTCTTGTTCCACCCCCAAATGGACTATCATTATCATTTGGGTGCCTCTGTGTTCTCCTTTTCCAAAAATATGCTGTGATTTTTTTTTCATTTAATGACTATCTTCTGGGGACATATGGGAAACAGGGTTAGTGATGTCATGGATTTTATCACACACAGTTTTCAGTGACTCTTGGTTTGTTCTTTCCCAAGACCTTTGCTGCAAGAGATGATAATAAAAAGGGTGCTCATAACTGTTAATAAACATAATTATACAAAAGAATACAGATAGAATATAGGATCACTAAGCAGCTGTATAAGATTTGCTGTTTGCTACATCTGAATTCTTCCCAGGATTGTGTTGACAGTGAGAATTTCTTAAAATACTTGTTTTGTTTTTTTGGTTTTTGGTGATCTTTTTTGTGCTTTGTATAACTGGGATGTATTTTGTTGATATTTAAAATGAACTTAAAGTTAGTATATGATTCGTCACTTGTTTTGTCTAGAAAATTGGTATTCATTAATTACTTTGTTTTATTAATGTCTTGTTAGGATTTCTGAAACTGCTTTTTGAGTTAAGTAGTTAAATGTCAAATTACAAAAGTAATTTCTTATAAGAGATTTGTTTTTCTAAAAATATATTTATAATGTAATAAATATAAAATATAAAATAATGGACAATGTCTTTTTTTTAACTCCTTAGGAACTAATTGATGATTTCATCTTTCCTGCATCTAAAGCTTACCTCCAATATATGAGTAGTGGAGAACTGCCAGCCAAGCAAGCTGTTCCAGTCTGTGGTTCACCAACTACAGTTAATGCTGGGTTTGAACTACTCGTAGCCTTGGCTTTTGGCTGTGTAAGGAATCTTAATCAGATAGTAAACTGTTTGACTGAAATGTATTATTTAAGCACAACAAGAACAAGTAAGTAAAATGTAAAGTTTTTTTATTGTTTCTTAGTATTCCAGTGTTTAAAATTAAAATGTCTGCAAACAGAAAAATTACATTATTGAAAGTATCACAAGTGTTGTATGTAATTTAATAATAAAGTTTAACAATAAATGCCACAGATATAAATATTTTTACACAAGATATTGGAAAGAATTTCATACCCTACTATGGAGGTCATTTAATGTTTCTTGAGTTCTGAGAATAGGCTTATTTTTAAGGTTCAAAGAGAATATTTAGGTGACTTACTATGCTTTCCATGCCCTCAGAGTTCCATGAAGTGACTCTGAAGATTTTACAAGAGTTTTAAACTTAAAAGGAAAGTCAAGCTAAACTTAGAGCTGCATGCCAATAATCCTAAGACTGGGAAGAGTGGAGGAAAAGGATGAATTTGAGGCCAGCCACAGTGCTATCCACAGGAAGTTAAAGAAGGCCACTCGGCAGTATAGCAAGCTCTCTGTTTTGAATCATGTGGAATGGAGCATGGGGCTAGATAATTTTAATTATAATGAAAACATGAACTCATTTTAGTAGAAAAGCATGATAGTTTATTAAATTTGTTACATTATTTAACAGAAATATAAGACCTGAAATTCTGTCATAGATTCTGTTATACCTTTTGTTCTTATATTATTAAATAAATGCTGAAATTCTTTGTTGTGGTAAACTTATAATGAACTTGTAATGAAAAACTTATTTGTCAGAATTTGTTTTTTTCCTCTGATACTTGTTGACAGAGATTTCTGTCCTTCCTGGTCCCACAGCCGTTCAGTCCCATAAAACACACAGAGGTCTACATTAATTATAAACTGATTGACAAATTAGCTCAGGCTTTGTAATAACTAATTCTTACATTGTACAGTAACCCATAATTCTTTTCTGTGTTAGCCATACACCTTGGTACCTTTTTCAGTGAGGCATTCTCATTTACTTGCTCTGTGTCTGTTGACAACTGCAGACTGACTTTTCATCTTCCCAGAATTCTCCTGTTCTCATTGTCCCACCTCTATTTTCAGCCTGGTCACACCACCTGCCTGGCTACTGGCCAAACAGCATTTTATTAAACAAGTACAAGAAACAAATCTTTCTGGGTAAAACCATTGCTGCACAGAAAATGCTTTTTGCATTGCTAGTTTTCAAAGATACCAAAATGCATACAAAAACTGTTAACTTCCCATGTATTCCATATTCCTGTTTTAGTAATAGGGATATGCAAGTTGTACATATACTACATGTATACATACAGATAGCCACACGTGTGTGCGCACGCGCGCGCACACACACACACACACACCCATACATTATATCTGCTTAGGTTGATTTTTCCCACCCCATATAAGTAGAGATGTAGTAAATGCAATATTCTCAACTTTATTTTATAGTTAATATATTTAGCAGCATCTTGATGTCTGATTCTTGTTGGTTTGTTTTGTTGGTGTTTTTCTTGAGACAGGGTCTAAGTAGGCCTGGTACTTACTAATAGGCCATGTTGACCTTGAACTCATAGAGCTCAATATGCCTCTGCCCAGGTATTGAAATTAAAGGTGTGCATAAGCTCAGCTAGAGGTCTGATTATAACTATTAATGGTATGAATTTCAATTTAATATATTTTAATTTTTGTAATTTACAGATTTTTGATGATTTTTAAATTGCTTTTGGATTTTTGCTAAGTATTGGACATATAAAATAATAGTTCTCACAGTAATTTCAGTTTTACTATCTACTTCCCTTGTTATAAAGCTAGATCTAAACCAGTGGTTCTCAACCTGTGGGTCAGGACCCCATTATGGATCAAATGCTCCTTTTCCAGAGGTTTCATAAAACTGCCAGAAAACACAGATACTTAAAATTCACAAGCATAGCAAAATCACACTATGACACAGCAATGAAATAGTTGAGGCAGTTACCACTGAACTAAATAAAGGGTATCAGCATTGGGAATGTTTAGGGCCACTACTCCAGAGAGCAAAATAAATTTTTCACTTTATTATGAGGAACAGTAAATATTTATGTGGAAGAACCTTTTTTTTTATGAGTAGAACTGTGGCTTGAAGGTAAGTGATTTTATATTTAAAACTAAGACGTTTGGACTGTTTCTGTATAGTTCTGTTCATACTAAATTGACCATACTAAGGTTGGTTTGGGGTGTGTTTTGTTTGGTTTCGGTTTGGTTTGTTTGGTCTGTTTTTGTTTGGTATTTTGAGACAGAGTTTCTTTGTAGCTTTTGAGGCTATTTTGGAACTAAATTTGTAGAGTAGGCTGGCCTCAAACTCACAAAGATCCACCTGCCTCTGCCTCCTGAGTGCTGGGATTAAAGGTGTGCACCAAAACCATTCTGTGAGCATACTAATTTTTAAAAGTACAAACTATTTTTAATGTTTATTCTTTAAATTATTGTCTTACTAAATTACAGAAATTTAGTATATAGTCCTAATTAGTGTTATGCAGTATAAATTTATTATATAACACTAAATTATTAAAATATTAAATAATATGCAATCCTATCTTATACTAATATTTCTAAGAAATATAGAAGTAATGTCAATAAAATTATGAAATCAGTTTGACTCATTGCTAAAGGAAAATTTTAGTATTCCAAATCTTGTGCTTTAAAATAAAAAGTTCCTAATAGTAATTTCTTAGCCTAAAAGAGTTGTAAATTAGAAGCATCACTTTCTTGCTGTAAACATTTTATTTTCTTCTCTCAGCTTGTGAAGCACTTACTGAGTGGGAATATCTACCACCTGTTGGACCGCGCCCACCAAAAGGATTTGTGGGACTCAAAAATGCTGGTGCTACTTGTTATATGAACTCAGTGATCCAGCAACTATACATGATTCCTCTTATCAGGAATAGTATTCTTTCAATTGAAAACATAGGGAGTAATATAAATGATGATACATTCAAGGATGAAAAGCAGGACAGTAAGGTAAGTTTCAGTCACTTTTTGTATTATTTTTCCAAATCCTAAAACCAGGTATTCCCAGTTCTCTCTCAGGTTGTTATACTTTTAATAGTATCCTCTACTGTCTTTGATGCTGGTGGTAGAATAATGTCTGATTTGGTGCGTCTAGGGTATTATAATACCCCATTATATACTACAGATTGGAAAGTACAATAGAAAATTTTACTTGTTTTATGTTCTTCCCTCAAACAAATACAGTTGATGTATTCCTGTTTTCTGTGATGTCTTAAGTATAATTAGTTTTTAACTATTTTCGGCAATTATCCTTACTGTGTACCCAATCTATTGTAAAGCTTTCCTGCTATTTTTTTTTATAAACTATCCTTTTTCATAGCGTTCCCTTAGTGTTTTAATCAAATCTTAGTTCCTTTTGATGGAACAGAGCTGTTTCTTCAGCAATACTATATAATTCACTGATAACATTAACAAACATTAGCAGATAATCAGTACCTTGTTGCATGATTATTAAAAACGCAGAAACAGAAATTGGGGTTCAACCTGAAGGTCAGAAAAGCAGAACAACCAGCCAACTGGCTCTTACCTTTACCTCAGTCTGAAATGGCAATCCTGCCTCCAAGAATCCTCAAAATACTGTGAGAGCTGGTGTATAAGCATGATCGGTGCAGCTATTTTACTCTCTAAACTTTATTAAAATACAAATGAAATATTACACAGTACCCACTGAATGTACTCAAATGAAGCAAAAGTGGACAGAAGTTAAGTTATAATAAAAATATTTATAACTAGCATGATTCTGTTTACGCTTTTATTAAAATATAATTATCATTTCCTATTTTCTCCCACCACCACCTTTCTTTGATGAAGGTATAAGGAAAAATATTTAGAACTCAATTTTGAGATACACTGGCTTATTAATGTGTCAGTAGTAAATTCTTTATTAAGATCCATGATCTAATTAGCACCAAGTAGTTAAGCTGGGTTTCCAGTACCAGGCATGATTTGCCTCCTGTTAATTGGTTAAGTCCAAGTGGAGAGCTATGGCTTACACCTGTTGTCAGTGCTGATATTTCACCTTTACGGGTGTCTAGTCACACTGGTTTTTGTTGTGGTTCATAGTCAAAACAGCTCGATTTGATTGTTTCCCTTCCTTTCTATGAAAACTAGTGTACTTATCAATTAGGCTTCCAGGCCCAATCCAGGTTGGACCCTCCATATGTTTTCTTATGCAATAAAGACATACACTCAAACTCTGGGAGACAACCAAGGGAAACAGCAGTAGCCCAAATTGTTTTTGAGAGTCTCTTGAGCATCCTGGACAACTCAAAAGGGATTGTCTCATGACTTTCTGGGATTTTGCTAGTATATATAGCTCTTGTGAAGAGCATTGCCAGGTCAAATTGAGCATAACTTAACATAAACTATACACACACTTATTAAAAATATTCTTACAGCTTTTACTTTTTCTGGTTTCTGCATTACTTGCAGTAACTTACTCACATCTGACAATTTGCAGCAAGGAACCCCAGTTGAGAGAATGTGTAGCCTTTGTCTTTTTGAGTCTAGGTTAAGTCAATCAATATGATGTCTATCTGCTGATTACATTTTAGGTTTTCGTACAGCTGAATAGTATTTTATAGTATACGTCTCATATTTTAATTAGCTATTTGTTGGTTAAATGTTGTTTCCATTTTCTGGCTATCATCAGGAGAGTAGAAATTAATGGAGCAGGGTATTGTTCTTTGGGCATTTGGCACAGAAAACTGGATTGCATGTTAAATTTATTTTTAACTTTTTGAGGTTTCTCCATACTGATTTCCAGAGTGGCTGGACCAATTTGTAAGCCTGCCAACAATAAAGGAATATGCCCCCTTTTCTACATCTTGTTCATCTTTAATTTTTGATCATTTTGTTGATTTTTGCCATTCTGACTGATGTCAGATGAAGTTTCAACATTGTTAGGATTCCGTATTTCCATAATTCCTAAGACTATTGAATGGTTGTAATTTTTTTGTTTGTCAGTTGCTTGGTTTGTCTGTTTTTAGATACTTCTTACCCATTTTTTGTGTCTTTTGGGATTCTACTCATATGCATAGCCCATATCTGTATCATTTGTTTCCTTGACTTTTTTGAGGGATGCCTGTATATATTTGAATATTCTGTATCAGATGTACAGCTGGCAAAGTTTCCCATTCTGTGGGTTCCTTTTTACCATTTTTTGTTGTTGTCTTGATTGTTTTTTTAGCTGTGTAGAAGCTTTTTTTCATTTTATGAAGTCCCACTTGTCAATTATTGGCCTTA